CCTAGTAAAAACTAAATCAGACAGAAATCATCAATAGCTGCTCAAGGGGGTGTGGAGGGTGGGGTGGGGAGGAGAGTTAGAGAAGGAACAGGGTACTTACAGAATATCAAAGCATTTCCTTTAAAATGTTCTTGGAATCACCAAGTAGGTGTTAATAACACAGCAGAGAACTCAGCCAACACCTCAGCCAAGTAATCAAAACTAAGTCACCAATAAAGGGCAAAGGGGCCTCCCACGCATCTGTATGTGATTTCCTGAGAACACATCATGTACATAGCAATCAGCCAAAAATGCATAACCTGAATCTAATCACAAGGAGACCCGGAAAACCCAAACTGAGGGCTAGTCGATAAAACAACTTGCCTATATTCTTCACACAATGAAGGCTGAGGAACTGTTCCAATTAAAGGCGACTAAAGAGATATGACAGTGAAATGCAGTAAATGGTCCTGAGTGGATGCTGTCCTGGAGGAAAAAAAATGCAATGAAGGTCATTATTGGGACATCTGCCAAAACTGGAACATGGACTATAGATTAAATATTAAATGTCCTGAATTTGTTAACAGTACTGTGATGACACAAGAGGATATCCTTGTTCGTAGGAAACACTGAGTGAAATATTAGTGAGATGTATGCTGTCTACTCTCAGATGATTCAGAAAAAATAAGTGTGTGTGTGTGGGGGGGGGCAGTGGTGAGACAGGGAGGAAAAGAGGGGAAATAAGAAAAACATGGCAAAATGATGTTAAAAATGTGTAAAACTGGGTAAGCGGTATAAGGAAATATATTATACTATTGCCACCTCAAAACAGAAGTAAAAAACAAAAACAGCAGCCAAAACAATTTTGAGGGGTTATCAGTGTTCAGCTTGCTTCAATGAGCAAAGTAATTCAACTTGAAATTAGTAGTGCAAAATAAAGAGTTAAATCTTTGAAAACATTTTGTTGCTATTATCGTAATCATCACCATGAACATTTATGGAGCACTAAGTGATAAGTACCCTGAAAGGTGCTTCACTTGTATTACCCTCTTTTAATCTTCATAACTACCCTAAGGAAAAGGCACTATAGTTATCCCTACTTCATAGATGTGAAACTAAGGTTTATAATCTTGCCCAAAGTAATACGGACAGCAAATAACAGAACCAGGAATCCAAAAAGGCTGATTACAAAGCAGGTGGGATTTATCACTATGTTAAACCTATTTAATTATTAATTATTAATTTTCCTGAAAGAGAGAGAGATGACTCTCAACCTAGATGAAATTCTGACAAATCAATCAAATATAAGGATTTCTTCTAATTATAATCAGAACACTAAATAAACCAGAGAGATATAAATAATCATATATATATATGAATAATAATATTCCAGGCTGAACTTGGTAATAAACAAATTCTTTGAAATAAAACACGTCCCAGGATGTCCTTTGAAATGATCTTATCAAATATCTCATAAACCATTTGGTCCTTGCTATAGAATGAATGTGTGTGTCCTCTGAAAAGGAGATGTTGAAGCCTAAATCCCCAATGTGACAGTATTTGAAGGTGGGGCCTTTGGGATGGAACCCTCATGAATGGGATTAGTGCCCTTTTAAGAAGAGACATCAGAGAGATGACTGCTCTCTCTCCACCACGTGAGGACACCGTGAGAAAACGACCATCTGCAAGCCAGAAAGTGGGCCTTCAGCAGTTACCAGATCTGTTGGTCTTGATCTTGGACATCCAAGACACCAGAAATGTAAGAAATAAATTTCTGTTGTTTATAGTCCATCTAGTCTATGGTATTTTGTTAAGCAGCCTGAACTAAGATAGTCATATGTCCAGTTTTTCTTTTTTTAAATGTATTTTCCCTCCTTTCATGTAAAGTGGTGTGATCTTAGTGTTCTTGTCTCCTTTTATTCTTGGCACCTCAGTTTTATTTTTTTTAAAAATGTCTCACGCTGCCTGATTTCCCAATTCAGTGTATCATTATGTTCCTTGCAGGTAAAGAGTAATCTGCTGAACATACCGTATCTTTCTTCCCAGTAGAAGCAGAATGACTGTTAATACAAAAATACACACACACACACACACACACACACACACACACACACACACTCAAAACAATAAAACATTTGCAAATACTTGCAGGTATTTGGTGAAATAATATCATTTGACATAAAGGATTCTCAACCATGGTTGCATAATTTAACCACAGAAGGAGCTTTTAAAATCCTGACGCCCACACTCAAGACCAATTATACCAGAAGCTCTGAAGATGGGACCTGGGCATCAATCATTTTTAAAACTTCCCAGGTGATTCCAATGTGTAGCCAAGTTTGGAATCCCTAGATGGAATGTCTATAGCCATAAAGAATTATATCTTATGTGTACAGAACCAAAGGATTCACAAAGGTTTTCTAGAATTCGTCTCACTAGTTAAGGAGTGTAGTCCTAAAGACTATAGTCCAACTGGTGAGTGAAGACACGTGTGAACAAAAGAAACGGTAGCCGAATGGACTAAGGACATGTGCCAAAAGAACGTGGTACACAGTAAGTACATCGGGAGACTACATGGGGACAATAAGGGATACCTGTACCCTCTGGACGCAATGACAGGCTCTGGTAAGAGCAAGGCTGAGGAAGGCAACTCCGGCTGGGGAATGGTGTACATGGAGAAGTATCCAATTATGTCCCGGAAACAGTGAGGTAACTAATATAACTACATCGGTTGCCTATTCAGAGTAGAAAAGGTAAGTTTAGGGCATAGACTATAGTAGAAGCAGCCCCTGGGGGGCCCAGAGAGTCTGGTGGCGGTTCAGAGCCTCTAAAGAGATTTGAGAAAATGATCAAATGAAAGCCCTCCTTTGGGAGGACTGATTGGACAGCTATTCAAAATGGACTTGGAGCAAAAACCAAAACTCTATTAAGAGAAAAACACGACAGATTATAAAAATTTTATGTTGATGAAGCATGACCTCATAGCTAGCTTCCTTTTCAGCTTTCCACAAAAAAAAAGGAACCAGAAGTTCGGACCCGCCGAAAACAGCGTGCATCTCACCTGCTGTGGGACCCACATACAAGAGAGGCTGGGTAGCCTGGAGGGCCGGTCTCCTTCTCTGCACCTGTGGCCCAGGTCCCAATCTCACAGCTGTAATACTTTCTGCTGCTCTATGTGCCTCCTTTTCCCATGAAAGCTACTCCTATGGCTAGGAAATATAATTCTAGAGGACGAAGTTTCAGGTCAGAGAAATGCTTTCTTTCTTATAGTGCTTTTGGAATAAGAAGGATCTTTGAGAAGCTGAATGATCCCGAGGTCATTCTGGCAGTTGAAGACTCCTAGGAATAAAAAAGGGGACCACACCATTCATTCTCTCAAATGTTTATTGAACACGTACCATTTACTACTGTTCTGGACATTGGAAAGGAAAGCAGGAAGGTCTGCTTTCCAAATAGACAGCTCTCTGGGCATTGTAGAGGTTTCACTCAAAAACATTACGGCAGTCTAAGGCTATCCAATTTATAGCTAATTGACTCAAGTGTGCTGCTATAGACCTTTAAAAACTGAATAGTGAAAGAAAGAAAGAAAGAAAGAGAGAGAGAGAGAGAAAGAAAGAGAGAGAAAGAAAGGGAAAAGGTCAAGATCCTTTATATAATGAACTATAAGTACCAGAGAAAGTACAGGGTAACATAAATTATTTTCTAAAAACCACACACACACACACACACACACACACACACACACACACAAACACACACACGGCGTGCACGCACGCACACACGAGGTCTGACAATTGTTTGCGAACTTTGTTACAACGATGTTGCTAACCTTTTTTGATATCAGAGAGATTATTCATTATAAATGTGTACCAACTGGACAAACAGTTAACCGAGTTTATTTGGAAGTGCTGAAAAGGCTGAGTGAAAAAGTTAGACCACCTGAACTTTTCACCAACAATTCATGGCTCTTGCATCACGACAATGTACCAGCTCACACTGCACTGTTTGTGAGGGAGTTTTTAGCCAGTACACAAATAACTGTATTGGAACACCCTCCCTACTCACCTGATCTGGCCCCCAATGACTTCTTTTTTTACCCAAAGATAAAGGAAATATTGAAAGGAAGACATTTTGATGATATTCAGGACATCAAGGGTAATATGCCAACAGCTCTGATGGCCATTCCATTAAAAAGAGTTCCAAAATTGCTTTGAAGAGTGGACTAGGCGCTGGTGTCGGTGCATAGCTTCCAAAGGGGAGTACTTCAAAGGTGACCATAGTGATATTCAGCAATGAGGTATGTAGCACTTTTTCTAGGATGAGTTCACGAACTTAATTGTCAGACCTCATGTATGTATACATACATGTGTGTGTATATATACATATTCAAGCCACTACATGTATCCTAAACTCCTAAAATAGTACTGCACCTAAATGTGCTCAATAAAAATTAAATGGCATTGTTGAGCTGAATGGAGTTCAAAATGAGGAAAGAAGGCAGCTATTATCCTGATTTAACAAAAGCAGTGAGGTCATCGCAGCTGCCTGTGTTTGCAAAAAGGGGCATGTCCAGGTATCTGAATTTCCAATCCCCTGTTTTTAAAACCAACCACAATGCTCAATTGTGAACCGGTATCTCGTGAAATCATGACATCAAAGTCCTCACAAAAGCAATGTTCAAGCTGTGCCCGGGGTTATTCAGAGATTTTGGAGTTCAGAAGTTGGTTGCATGTACTGAATGTCATCTAAGACTACAGAGGCATTCTTTGTGTTTGCAAAGTTGTCATTTTGTAAAATTCTACTAAGAATCTGCATTTAACTACATGCGTTCATTAGAAATACCTACAACAACATGAACCAGAGCTTTCAAATAACAACACAAAAGTGTTTGGTGCTGGTTTTTCTAAGTCATTATACTCTTAGTTTACAGACAATTCCTATTTCCTCACCTTGGAGAAAAAATTAGCATATTTCCAGTCCCCTCCCTCTCCCTTTTCTTGCCCCTTGAGAGGAAGTTTTACCTGCATAATGTACCGGAATCTCTATCTTTGGCCCAATGACATAGTGCCCCTCCTCCAAGCTATGGGCAGTGATGGTTGTCCACTGACGGCACGAATGGATCAAAAGGTAGTCATTTTCCCGCAGCCCTTCTATGCATTCTCCTAGAAAACATAAATTTATATAAGAAACTCAGTATTAGCATTTGCTTACTCCATACACTGCAATAAAATTTTAGTAGTTCAAACGTCACTAATGCAGAAGTTGCGAGTTCATCCCAAGAGGAGATAAAGTTCACTTATGAATTAGCAATAAAAAAGCATTTTATGCCAAGTGGATAATTTTACACAAGATCTCATAAAAATGTTTCCCACATATTAACAAAGAGATGTTCAAATATCTCATTGTATCTAAATAATTATATTTCAATGATTATAAAACAAACATTAAGTGCCTACAATACATTAGATAATACTTAGATGCTTTGTATATATTACTTCATGTAATACAGTAACATGAGGTCGTTACCGTTCCTTCTTCACAGTAAAAAAAAAAAAATCAAGGTTTAGAATGTTAAGTAACATGTCTAAGGTCACAGATTGAATAAACAGAAAAGAGCAGCTTCAGGTGTAGGTCAGATTGATTCCAAAGCTTAGGCTCTTAAACACTACAATATACCTACCAAAAATAAATAATAAGCTTATTTCTCTGTCTAAGTATCACTCGAGATTAAATGCTTATTTCTCCTTTTAAATTTTATATGTTTTGCCAGTTCTCTGTGGCCTCCTACCAAACTTCCCAATCAATTCAAACCAGTTAAATTTATAGCACACAAATGAAATTATTTTTTCATTTTAATATTTCCTGATGTACCCTTTTAGCATTTGAAGAGATGACAAACTATTTCAAAAGCGAAATCCATTCCCTGGGACTTTAAAAGATAGTTTTTTAGATGCTGAAATGATCCATCCCATTGATCCTGGTTTAGGAGTTTTAAATGCTCAGAGAAAATACCCAAAAAGGCAAATTCCTTTATACAGAAAACAATTACCTTTCCTTACTTTTAATGTTATTTTGATTGCATTGCAATAATTAAAAGAGTTACTGGCAATTTAACTGTATGTTGTGAAACGGCATTTATAGATTCCTCAAAAATTCTTATAAGTTTCAGTACTTTTTCAATTAAAAAAAGGTAGAGGAGGCTGTAATGATCAATCAACGTGGTTATCACAACCATAAACCATCAAATTTGTTCCCAATGATGCCATAATCTTTGAAATAGGCTTACTGCAAGAATACTTTATCTCTGTTGCAGGAAATACAAAGAGTTAAAATTAAAAACCTTATTGGGGAGGAGGTGGGAGAAAAAGAAACAGGCCTGGGAGTGGAAGTACCCTAGCAGAAGGGGGAGGGTGGAATTTCCAAACCAGACTCCCCTGCACGTCACACTTTGGGAAGAACAGGTTCATGAAGATACCACTGGGGGAGGCCACTGGTACTCAGCAGCCCTTTGCATCCCTCAAGCATGTTATGGCAGGAAAGAAAGATCTAGAAACACTGCCCCCAATATAGCCCCCTCAGAACTCCCCACCAGGGGCAGAGGGTGGGAAGGGCACATACACAGAAGGCGGGAATTACAAGTATGGGCTCTGAGTCCAGCAGACCTGGTCTAGTCCAAGTTCTGTCCCCGCAGGTCTGTGTGGTCCTGGGCAGGCACCTTCTGTTCACCCAGGAGATGGGGTGGCAAGTCCCTGCTTCATGAGTGGTTGTGAAGATACTCCATGACAGTGTTGGAAACTGCGGAGCACCAACTCTGTCATTTTATGTTCGGAGTGATCAGGAAACATCAGCTATAAATTTTATTTACTGTAAGGTTTTTCTTCCTAAAACTTAATCCTTTACGTAAACATTGTAATTTAGGTCATAGTATCCTTCTTATAGGTGAGGAAATGGTCTTCAGGGCAAACTTGCCTAGAGCTACACATCTAATAAGTTGCAGAAACTGACTTCGGGGTCTTTCTCTACATCTCCCTTCTGCTCTTCCAACACCATGTCTATGGCCTTGAAAACCACCAACAATAATCCAAGTAACAGGGAGAGAATGACCTTTGGCTTCAAGTCTCACGTGTTCACTCAACTGGTATGACAAGCACTGTTCCTAGCACTTGTGATGCCCATCAGAGAACAAAACAGAGATCTCTGCACTAGGACACTTATTATCCAATAGACAGGAGACAGATCGTACCATTGACAAGAATGATTAAATTATGAATTAATCAGAAAGTGAAAGGTGGTTTTACGGGTAAAGGGTAAGAGGATCAGGAGGACAAAATGTACATATTTAATGTGTACAATTTGATGACCACCAAACACTTCCTGAGTATCTTTTATGCACAAAGCAATGGGGGAAGTGGGCAAAAGCATAAAGAAGATTTGGTCCATGCATTCAGGAAGTCAACATTTTCACTGATGAGATGTGTTTATATGCAATTTCATGTAAGGTAGGACATTATGAGTGTTATGTCGGAGAAAGAAGGAATCTAGAGCAGGGATGATCAATCTAGTAGAGAAGATCAAGAAAATGTTAACAGGAATATAAAGCATTAGGGCTGGTCCTTCTTTGATGGATAAGATGGGCTTAGATGAGAGGGAGGCAATGGAGAGTCACTGAAGAGTTTTGGAGAAGAGAATGGCCGAATCACTGCTGTAGGAAAATTAATCTGGTGGTACTATAAAAGACAGATAGGAGAACAGGAGAAACCAGAGCCATGGGGTGTATGCAGGAAACTCAGAGGGAAAACAGGGCCAGTCAGAGAAAAAAGAAAAATGTCATTTTCTGCGACTAAATTGTTATATCATAAAAACTGTTTTAATTTTATTCCACAGTGGGCTCTAAAGAGGCAGCTAAGAAACAATTGCAGTTAAGTTAATCAAAATGAAAATTTAATGGTAAATCCTACTGCTAGCTGATGCAGTAAACACTCTATCAAGAGGATTCAGAATGATTTTCGAAGCCATAAAGTAGTAAGAAACCAGGGCCTATTTTTGAGCTTATGTCTTCTTTATTTTTTTAAAACAGCTAAACCATGTGTCTGCTTTAGGCAAAAAAAAAGTTCCACAAAAATTGTCTAGATATGAAACTTAATATAATCACTTAAAATAGCCTAGGGTAGGCCACTAATAGAGAAATTACATTGAATGAAAAACCCATTTTTTGGTGATATAATTAGCCTGTTGCTTAGCTACTATGTATAACATACTAAACTTACATGTTTAGCTCAATGATATAGTAACAAAAAGTCTAAAAGAATTGTGCGTTAAATTCCGGAAAGATGGTAATGCCATGTTGAAATTTCCCCACATCTAGCATGCTTCTGGGATATACTTTACTTGTCTTGTTTGAACTTGATCGCCTCTCAACATTAAGTCTTACATACTTGTTAAAATCGTTTTTAATGCTAGGAGAACTAAAATCCATTAATTCTTCAAAGTAAGCCTGCTTATAAAAAAGAAGACTCAATCTCAAAATTTTAAATAAATATTATCACCTGAACATGTACAGATTCTGTCCGCTCTTTTGGCTGCTGGGCCAATATAATCTCCTGATTTGCCTTTCTGATCTCTCCTTGCTACCTTCTCTGTTTTTCTCCCCTTTACATTAGCTGTAACTGTAGGGATTAATCAAAGTTCTACCTCTAGCCTACTTACCTTTTCTCTCTCTTTTACAATCTTATACACCTCTCAAGGATTTGGTTAGTTACGGACAGCTCCCAAATCCATGCTACTAGTTACTAATTAATTTCTATCCCGAGCTCAGAGTCCAGACTTCTACACATTTCTTCCTGGATGGCCCCCTGCCATTCACTCAGGCATCATAGATTCATCCAACATACACTTCTCCAGGACCAACTATGTTCTAGGACCTGGCAGTACAGCAGTGAACCAAGAACCTGCTCTCATGGACCTGGCCTCTTTGCTGGGTTTTCAATCTCCTGTTTCTTACTCTTTCAACTTGCTTAAATATTGCTGCAGATAAAACTTCCAAGAAGATAGCACTGCTCATCTTATTCTTCTGTTCACATCTGCCTTAGGTTCCCATTCATACAGAATGAAGTCTTAATTCCTTGGCCCCAGTACTCAAGGGTCCCATGAACTAGTTCCAAGGGGTCTATGGCCTTGTGTCTCCGACACCATATGTTAAGAGTCCAAAGGACACACTCTCCGTTCCACATACACGTTGCACTCCCACACATCTGAGCCCTCTCTTCACTTTCTTTCATTTGCCTGAGACTTTATTATCTCTCAATCCCTATCTACCTACTAGTTACCCTGCTTACTCTTGAAAGACCAACTCACATATCACCCTCATGAATGTCTTCCTGATACGAATCTTAACATTTTTTATTTAAACTGCATTATTTTATAACTTTCCTTATATCCTATGATGAATTTATAAATTTCTTTTAGAGTTATAAGCATAAGAAACTCAGACTGACTTTTTAATGTTTATATGTATTTAAATAACATAACAAAAATAATTTAACCCTGTGTGAATTGCAAGCATTTTTTTTCTTTTAAAACTGGTCTATATATTCATCAAGTTTGAGAAACATGTATAAAGAGGTTAAGGAAAAAAGATATTTGGGACCATAAATGCTGTTGGATGAGCTCCTCGCTAAACTATCATGTCTTACTAGCAACCACAGCAATGCAATGGAACAGCTCAGATTCACTGCTTTTTAAATACTCTAATATGTTTCTTTTTATTTAGACTATTTATTTAGAATATTTTCCCCCTGACATGGAATCTTATGTTTTTTATGTGACTTGTAACTATTTTTAGCTTTGTCTGAACTGCAATTAAATTCATTACAGTTGAATCTGAGTTAGTACGTATATAACTGTTGTGCCTTTATGTACGAGTGACTTCAGATATGTCTGAATCAGGTCGTAAAGTTGTTGTATAAGGTCTCTTGCAGTAGAATCCAAATCTCTATTAAATAATTAAAACATTTTTTTTAAACATGAAGACCAAGTATGAGTGTACTCTGATGACAATTTATGTTTTGATACTAAACCTGTTAACCTTCTACTAATAGGTTTTCTATTAAAGTTGGCTGAATCCAGACAGAGAACAAAATAGACACATACACATTTTTTTTTT